CCCCCCCCCCCCCCCCAACACTAGTTTACCCACTACTATTGCCCGCGTCCACCCAAATAGCACCCTCATCGAATCAAGTTCAGCCCTGGTTTGTCAAACTCACGCTAACCCCAAATGGTGTTTGGAACAGATAACACAAAAGCCCCAAACCCAACAAAAAGACACCGACACGAAGGGGGCTTGTACCCCGCCTGCGCCACCCTATATTTCCTCCCTCAACGCCCTTTTATTACAAATGTGTGAGGACAACCCTTGCCCCAGACATAGGCCGATGCCCCCCCCCCCCGGTGGGGGCACCGCAGGCGAGAACAAGCAACCGGCTCCTCTCCCGCTAAACACTCGCGCACCAGCCCGTCCAGAACAAGTCTCGCAGGCCGTGCTATGGTAACGGTACCATGCGCTTTCGACTTCGTGAATACTCTTCTCGTACGGCCATTCCTTTACAATAACGAACAACCCAAAATCAGGGAAGGCCAGAAACGTAATGGGACGGAAGCCAGTCGCATCGATCGCAAGACACATCCATCCAACCAGAGAACGCGTCCACACCCGCTATTCGCTCTTTTCGACAATCGTAAAACCGAACTCCACCCCGCCATCCACCTTCGATGGTCCGGTTCTGGTCGGTCGCAGGCAGCAACAGGGGGGAATCGTGCGTAATCGCCCCCCCCCTCCCTACAACTATGCAGCCTGCAGCGATCTACTGGAGGCCGTCGCCGCCGCCGCTGCCGCCGCTGCCGCCGCCCTATCCCCCAAGCCCATCGGGTTCACCTTCATCTCGTTCTGGAGTCTGTCCATCGCCTCCTTCGACTCCGACACCCCCGCTCCCGCCCGGCCCCCCACGTCGTCGTCGTCGTCTAGCAGGTTAAGCGAGTCGAGGGTCGAGAGCAGCTGCTGCTCCTCCTCGTCCGCTGACCTCGGCGCCACGCCCATCATCGACAGCTGGTCGGCGGCCTCTCTCGGCGAGCTGTTCGCCGTGTTCGTCCACGCCTTGTTGAGCGTCCGGACGGCGTCCATCGACACCTTTCCCCCCCTCGACCCCGACTTCCCTTCGCTCCCGAAAACAGCGGCGGCGAGATCGTCTTCGAAGTCGTCTTCGAAATCGTCATCGAGGTGCTTGTCAAGCTCGTTCGCGAACTCGTCCTCGAACAAGAACGCATCATCTTCCTCCTCCTCCTTTTCCTCCTCCTCCTCCTCCCCCTCCTCTTCCGCCACTTCTTGCCGCAGCCTCTTTCGCAGCAACATCTCGTTGGCTGGTCTCCCCCTCGGCCTGCGGCCGACGCTCGCACCCCCGGCACCCACGCTCAGCCCGACATCCAGCAAAGGCTGTTGTCTGCTACTACTAGACAGCTCCCCCCAACTTCCTTCCTTCTCCTCCTCCGGCTCCTTGCCCTTCGAGCCAAGGATGGACTGCAGCTCTGAGGTGATCCCCACGTCCCCGGCGGGCTTACCCCCTCCGGGCGCAGTGCCCATCCGCTGGTGCACCAGCGCCACCTCGTTCCTCTTAGCGGCCGCCTCCGCCTCCGCTACCGCCTGCCTCGCCGCCTTGATCGCCCCCTTCGGCGGGCCGAGCACCCCGGCCTGGACCAGCATCTGGTCCAGCTTGAAGTCCCGGACGCGGTAGTTTCGGTACGGCTGCCGGAGCTTGTGCAGAGCGCGGGCCTCGATCTGCCGCACTCGCTCTCGCGTCAGCCGGAAGTCCCGCCCGACCTCCTCCAGCGTGCGGGGAAGGGCCCCGCCAAGGCCGAAGCGCGCCTTCACCACCTACGCACAATACAGCAAAACCAGTCGCGGCGGGGGGGGGAGGGGGGGGTATTCATGTTTACATGCCCTAACTAGCGGTTAGGCTTGACGCTTATCGTCGACGAGAAATGGCGCGAAATTTTCTCAAGATTGGCATACCCTCCCCACGCGGATTCTTCCAAGAGGTAGACCTCTCACCACCCCACATCACCGCAGCGTGCTATGGCCGGATCGCCGCGAAATCTTCAAGGCCGCACGCGCCACATCTGTAGGCGTCGTCTTTGAAGCCTATGGTGAACGGCTGTGGGTGGGATCCGTGTGGGCCGAGCAATGTCGATCGGCGCGAGCCAAAGTGCGAATCCGTGTGGAGACTTCGCCCACGGAAGGTGGGGAAGGGCTGCACCTCAACTGTGTGCGTGACCATGACGGTCCTGTACCGTGATCAAAATATATGGTAGGACCGTCATGGTTTGCGCACACTGTTTGAGGTGCAGCCTTTCCCCACCTTCCGTGGGCCAAATCTCCATCCTTTTTGTT